TTTAATATTTCTAGAGTTATTCGCGATTGAGTGTTGTGCTGTTTTAGAGGAACCACCTATGACGTCATCAGTTTCCTCATTTGCATAATACCAAAATGTAAATATCTCTAAAACGAAGAAAGATATTCCAAGAAGGAAAATGCCATTCTTCTTTACTTTGAAAAGCCCTTCAAATAAGCAGCAATTTTTTTTTTACTTCATAGGCACTTTGAACATAATAAGTTACAAATACCAAATTACATACCGCCCTCTTTCGTACGTATGTCAGTTTTCTCGCTGCTTTTCAGTGTTGTTACATTAGTTACTCGATCTTTCAGGAGAGCAACAATCTTGACTTCGTAATTGCTGTAGGGTTTCAGATTGCGCACCACGGTCTTTGAAGATGAAGCATTCTCTACACTCAACAGAAGAATGTCACTGCTACCTCTCCGTATGCAAACAGCTACATAACCATATATGTCAGTGGAATTTAAGCTGCTGCTATTCAAAGGCAACCAACTGACATTGACTGTTGTAGAACTGATGTTGCCGACTGTGACATTCCAGTCACGTTGATATGAAGCTAGAAAATCAACAAATATGAAACACGTTGTTGGTAAAAGGAAGTAATTTGACCGCATTTTTTTTAGTTCAAAACACTACAGCCTTCAGCTGATACACACACAGTTGCATATAAGTTTCAACAAATTGCCAATCGATTATTTTGTGAAGATTTTCTTGTCACAGCTTTCATAAGACTACAGACCTAGTGCTCCTCTTGTTATGGAACAGCTAATTCACCTTTTTCCCCTTTATTCTCTGAAACTCCTGCTTTAGTATCTTTTCGTTGCTTGTCTTTTTTTCTTAAATCAGCCCCCTTTTTTTCACGTGTGATATTCTGTCGCATCTAAGTAACAGGCAATTAATGGCTGGAGACAGAAACGTCAGGCATTCCGAGGGCTTATATTACTTCCATTGCAAATAGTCTCTTCTGATCGGTCGAAAACCACATCAATTTCAAAGTAGCAAAATGTATTTTCTGCATTTTGTTTTGCGTTAAAAAGAGCAAATGAGTCAGAAATTAAACATTCAGTTTTAATACTCCTGGTATATTGTTAGTCAAACGGTTAACTTACCATCTAAGCCTGTGTTGTTCATCACAAAATACAAAGCCTTCAATGTCGTATGATAATAATAGTTCAGGTTAAGTCTCACATGGGCATAGCCTCCCGGAATGAGAAATGCAAATGGTTCCTTTTTACCGCAAAGGTTGATGCTTTGGCCCTTGCGAGCTGTAACATAACCATACCTAAATACAGCAGGGAGAAACACAAAAAAGCGCTCTGAAATTGATCAATAAATTCAACTCAACCTACAAGCTTTTAGGATTTTGACAGGATATATTACTATTACACATTACGTCTTTAATTTTCAACGATAAATAATCAATTATGGCAGAAGTTTTCGTAGAAGATAGGCGCCGACAGGCCACAGGTCACGAGGCGAAAACCAAATAAAATATATGTTGGTTTGCAAAACATTTACGAAAAATTTGCTAAACCAGCAATCACAACGATTTATTAAGAAATTAAAAAGAGCCATGGCTGTTTTTCTAGAGTAAAAAAAACCCTTAGGAATATGACTAGATTATGTTCATAAGTATGGAGTGTGAAAAACACCTTATGAAAAAAAATTGCTCTTCTTCTTCGACTAACTCTACAAGCAGTCCAGACGTTCTGTTTGTGGAATAAATTTATAAGAAACCGCGCGACTCATGACAATGACTTACCATTTGGAGGAAAGTAAATCATCGATAATAGAGTGCTTGGCGGAGCTTATAGGTTAAGCAAATTTGGTGAGATGCGATGGGTTTTTGCGATGGGTTTTGGAAGCCAGCGACCAATATACAGGAAATCACGGAATACATGGTTCAGCTGATCCCAATTTGGAACAGATCCGTTGATTATTCGGGAATTTATTGAGCTTTGTGTCGAGTTGGCTTTATAGCTAGCCTTAAATTCTTTTATAGTGGATAACACCTCCGATAGCAAGAAGGGAACAAATTCCGTTTACATCCACTTCCAGTGTTATGTGCAGAGGCGACATCTTTCGACCGTCTTTCGACATGCCATCTTTCGACATGCTGTTTATGTACCAGTCAAATCGAAGCTTCAACATCCCTCCCCGGGTAACCCCCAAGCATTTGAATTTTTGGAAAATTTTTGGAAAATTCCCCCTCCCCGGGACAAAAAACTGTTCAAATGCCCCATCATAGGTCCATTTCAGGTGATCAAATGCCCCCACCCGCGGGAAAATTAGAAGATTACTGTTTTAACTTTTCAGTAGCTTCTATTATGCTGGTGAAGCTGTGTATGTAAACATGGTTTAATAGACAACACCAAAGAGAACCAAGGCCCTACATGCCACGAGGCACGGGGAGGACAGGTAACAGATACCCAAAGAGAACCAATAACAAAGTTGACAAATTTTGATGTCGAATTATTATCATTAAACCTCTAATATAAAAGTTGCGTTTTGTCGATGTTGATCAATTTCATGTAAGTATTACACTAGGCCAATGTTCTACTCGTAGAGAAACACGTGGAGAATATCTCAATTTAACATATGTATATTTAATGCCTCTGTTTCGATTGAAGCCAATTTTGTTAAATATTTGATTCATCAGTAAAAGAGAAACAATTACAAAGTTAACAAATTTTGATGTCATATTGTTAAACCTTTAATTATGTAAACGTTTATTAGTAAAATTCAAATATTCATATTAGCATTCTGTCGATGCAGAACATAACTATTAATTTATATGCTACTACTGCTGTGTCAGTGTATCAATGCGAACTTCCAAATTTGCGCAGTTTTTAAAATGAACTTAAACTATTTAAAGAATATATGAGAGTAAAATATGTTTGTTTCTGTTGAGATCATTTTTTTTTCTTCCTTGCTCTTGTTTCTGTTGCTTTCTGCACTGCCTTGGCACAGCTTTCCTTCTTTTTATGAAGATGGCTAACCCAAATCTTCACTTCATTTAAGGAAAGGCAACACTTTTTAGCCAATATGATATGGACGTCATCCGATTCAATCCCCTTCTTGAAGGCCTCTTCAATAATTATAATACGGAACAAAGCTCATGTGGGCCTTTGCTTTTCAATCAATCCGCCACGAATCTAGGCTCGATTTCCAGCCGTTTTGTGAGCCCACGTTCCTTGCCCCACACCACAGCTTGATCACTGGTCTATCCATTGTATTTTTTGACCAGTCACAGCTAGGCCTGCTCGAATCGAGCAGGCTTGGCTGTGATTGGTCAATTCTGTCACTTGTCTATCCAACATAGTGGATGTCAGTTCTAGTAGAAGTTCTAATGGGTTTTCTCTTTTGCTGTAAAGTGTGTTTGAGAGCTCTTTCACATCGACAAATTTAGGGAAACACAGCAGGA